GTGGATAAAATCAGTTTTTGTGAAAGTAGGATGAGATTATGTTACAGCGTTTGCTTTCAAATTGTGGGTAATTCGATGAATTTGCAAGAAATTATTGCGTATTTTATAATTCTAGTTAAGTAAGTGAGATGATATGAGATAATAACACGTCGTTTCCCAGATATGTGCATTTTTTTACTCACAAAAAAAGCTATTATTTAGAACGACTTTAATCACAACCACGATAACATTTACAACACATCATTTATTAACTTCCTATTTTCCATTTTCAACACCTACCCAGGGGGACCTCCCTCCAACAATAGAAACTTTGTTATCTTGCACACCCACAGACTCATAAAGCCATAGAAACTGAGATTAGAGCCCTTCAATATCTAATAGATTAAACCTTCGCCCTGTACTTCTCGAAAAAATCGAGATAAGACCAGTCACGAATTTTCTTCTTGTTGTTACGACTGAACTCTAAGGTCAAACTTGCAGATTACAATCTCGGATTTATGTTTCCGTCGTCACAAAATTCGTGACGATTTTTTACGGTTTCCTAATTGTCCAATTTCTCAAAAATCCACCACCTGGTCGTGCTTTTTGACCACAACAACAACAGATTTCGGCATAATCGAAACCGGAATTTTGCAGAAAAATTTTCTCTGGGGAACAAAGAGTGGAAAACCGATTCCGGTTTGTGGTTTCGTGTGTGATAAAAATGCAAAGAAATGAATGATAAAAGTAATAAAATAATGAAACAAGTCGTAAATTGCCAATGATCAAACAGGCGATTGATAATGATTATCTGACAGCAAACAGATTGTTTTCGTGTCAAATTTGTTATAAACAAAGTAAAATATACGAGGGCGTTTATTACAAGTGACTGAAAATTTGGTTGAAAATTGTCATTCTTTAAAACTCACTCTTTTGAAAATAGATATGTTCCAAATGTTGACACTAAAAAGTTTTATTACCAATAGAATTTTCAAAATTTGTGCTCCTAAGTAGTTAAGTTTTAAACAATAAACATTTAATGACAAATTTTTCAAATGGAGAAAAATAATTAATGAACTTCAAAATTTTTGGTGGTAAAAATTCTTTTGGTTTGAGTAAACACAGTCGCTGAAAAAGCGTTGAGGAAATTTCCAAATTGCTGATGGTTTATTTTTATTAAGAAATTAATTCTTTACATGGTTGCATTTTTTTCGCTTAGGTGTCACAACATCGCTTGCGAAAAAAATAATCGGAAAAATTTGGTTAAAAGGTTTCGCATGAGTGAACCATTAACTTGCATCTTGAACGGTTTCATGGTTCAATCTCAGCGTTGCTGTTTTTATTGCAAGTCATCAACTTGGTTGAAATTAACTCGATTAAAAAAGGTTCATTGGACCGAGGAAAAAGGTAAAAGTGAACAGTTGGGTAATATTCTGATGTAATTCTCTGATTCGTTGTGGTGGTATTGCCTGGAATTGTATACAAAATTTTTTCTAATGTACCAAATTGCGCATGCGCACTTGCCTTTAGGGGGGACCAAGCGCGCCTCAGCTCCCCTACTTCTCACTCCACACTCTCGTTTAACTCGCGAGTGATTCCGGTGTCACCGAAAATGACTCTCCGGTGAAGTGCACGTGACTGAATTTCGTGTGTCGTGATGGTGGATTTAAAGGGTGAAACGGTGCCGGCAACGCCGAAAAAATCCCGTGGGATTTCAATGACAACTGTCAAGAATTGGTTAATGCCGGAAAGGAAGACTCAAGACACGCCGAAATTTCAACGAATGCCGGAAAGCTTCCTCCGGTCGATCCGGAGACGTTCTTTGAGGGTGAAAAGGACGAAATCATTGGTGTTACCGGAGAAAAGAAAGTCCGGTGAGTGTAGTACAAAGAAGCGACTTCGGCGTTTTTTTCGAGGGAAATCGGTGAAAGTTGGCGTCACGATGGTCATTATCTACCTGTTGGTCGCAACGACGCAGAAAATTGTGTCACGTGCGTGTTGTTTTGTGGATAAGTGAGTGAATTTTTGAAAAGTTGACAAGAAAAAAAATTGAAAAATTGAGTCTTTTTCTTAAAACTAGTGCTAAATCCAGGTCGGGAACTCGTTTATTACTCGGCGATTAATAATGTGAGCAATAAGCGCACTCGCGTTATAATTATGTAGTTATTATTTCACTCCCCAAGAATGAGTTAATTGCACATTGACATATAACGAATTTCTTAATACAGAGGGGGAATAAATTAAATAAGCCCAGATTTTGGGTAATCAGATTGTCAGTTGTCTTAGCAACGCCGTAAACAAAGGGCGCTAATAGAGGTTTCGGTTTAATTTAATTTTAGGGGCGAATAAATTCAGGAAGTAATTATTGTCACAGGAGTTACATAATTTTTTTTTCTCTTGCCAGGAAACATTCTTGAAATTTTAATAGGTTTTTAATTACAATCAAACAAAATCATGAACACCATTGGCGACATTGTTATCAGTTGGTGATAAGAGGCAACGATAATGTAATAATAGAACGGTACTTAGGTTTGTCTTGTGGGTCGTTGAAACGAGGCCGTGTCAAATTTTCAGATTCTTGGAAAGCGAAAATTTCTATTTATATTCGTGATTTGTGCACTTTCCAACCTTAAAAATTATGATTAAAAAAACTAAAATAGAATTTTTCTCATCTTTGCTTCTCCTTCATTGGTGATGAAATCACTTCTGGTATTATAAATTGGGATTATTTGCACAAAGTCTTCGATAATAGAACACGCAGCTGTCACTATTGTTGTGCTATTCAGCTGCTGAAGAAGAAACGAAGATGAGGAACGATTTGTACAAAAATTACGTCAACGTCGTAGATTTTTAGTTCGATGAACTTGAGAATTTTTTCTTGTTCGTTTCCGTTTCCGTCACAGGTCGAAATGATCGGTGTTTAATACACCTTGTCATTGCTTCCGGCTGCTGAATATTATTTCAGGAAATGCAAGACTCGGACAGGAAATTAAATATTCATTATAAACGTCGGTGTCGTATTTCAATTGAAATATGCCTCAAGTCGTAATTCTACGGTTAAGACACTGTTATTTTGCTAGTGACAGCTTGATTTCTTAACGTTTTCAACGCGATATAACTGCATAAAGCGAACTAATAAATGATTTTATCTTTTTAGTCATGAATTAAAAATTTTATTTTTGCGCGTAAACGTTTTTGCTTTTACCATGACATTTACCATGTTGGCTCTTTTGCTGCTTCAGCAATTTCTGGAGAGGTGCATTGTAGATTATCAGCCTTCGACATTTTGCACTACTAACTGCACTAGTTAAATTAATATACACTTGCGAAAATGTTATCACAAATTAACAGTTTTTAAAGAATTAACAGCTACATTTATTATGTTATTCAAATGTAAATAACCAATATCAAACGTGTTTGTTTTGTCATTTTTTGTTTTTACTTTTTTTCTGGTAATTTTTTTTTCTCTAAAATTTTAAGTTTTGTAAATTCTATCAATTTTGAAGTATTTTTTCCCCAAAAACCTTAAAGCTTAAACAAATATTAAGTACCTTCCATTGAAATTTTTTTTTGTTTTTAATTAATTTCTGGAAATTGTAGTTTTGTTGAAAAAGTCAATAAAATGAGAAAAACAAAACAAAAATGTTACTTTTTTGTAGGTTTAACGAATATTTAATAATCGAATGTGCCTCGGGGTTAAAAAATAAATATCACACTCGTTTATATTTTTTCCCAAAAAGCCAAAAGAAACATGTGTTATTTTTTGTTTTTGGTCATTGTAATTTTGTCGAAAAGTGAAAAATATGAGATTTTTTAAATGTTACTTTTTTGTAGATTTTTGTTTTTTTTTGTTCCGGATTGTTTTTTTTTAATCTTTAGCTGTTTTGTATTTTTTGAGATAAATACTCGATTTTGAAGTAATATTTCTCTTCAAAAAGCTAACAAAAATTTAAAGTTAAATTTTAGTGGTAACCAAAAAAGTAAAAAAAGTTAAAAACCATTTATAGTACTTTCCTCTGACATAAAAAAAACTAGTTTTGCTCCATTTTTAATTTTTCAGTTGAAGTTTCGTCGAAAAACTCAAAAATATGAGAAAAAACACTAAAATGTTACTTTTTTGTAGATTTTAGATCTTAAGCATTTAACATTAACATCATTCTCAATTTTTGGTAATTAGTCTTTTCAAAATGTTTTTTATAACTTTTCAATTTCACAGCTTCTGGTCTACTTAAGCGACAAGAATAATGAAGTTTTTAGATTCTCATTAACTCTACTAATTACCGTTTTCTGTTGCTGCAAAAAGCTTGACGTTTTGCTGACATACTAATTATTGATACCTTGGCTAGAAGCTAGTTTTACTGTTACTATTTTACGTTAATTACCCGGTTAAATAACTGCTTAAGCAGAAAAAAAAAGATATTTATAGTTCGGGTTTTAAACTTTCAGTTTTGCTGGACGTTCAAAGGATTTCTTTTTTTTTTACTTTTCATCAGTTTTATGTCGAACCTCGAAATTTTTTACTGTTTGTTATGTCAAAATATTCTATCGAACGCAATGACCGTGACTGTGAACTGAATCGTACAAAATCGTAATTTTTTTTCAATTATTTATTTATCGCCGACCTTGCCACTAAATTTAGACATCTATCATTGAACTGCTTATCTTTTTTATCATCAATAATTAAAACTTACCAAAGATCAAACGATCATGTCTATAAATGCGGTTTCCTGATTCAACCACCGGCTGAAAAGTCACGCACCTGTCCCATTTTGTGCACCCATATGGGCCCAGATGGCCTATTAATTGATTATTATTTTTTAATTAATTATATAAAGGGCGAGCGAGAAATACCGATCGAAAGAACAGTTAAAAGGAACACCTGAGGGGACTGTAACAACTCGAGCATTAACATTTATCAGAACAAATGAACCGGAAAAATATTGTATGCTACTCGTGTTCTAATTATTTTTATAATTCTTGACTTGACTTTGATTTATTATTTTTTTTTCTTTTGGTTTCAGATTCCTTCGTGAATAGCCAAGAATGGACGTTATCACGAACCGTTCCGGATCTGCGGTTGGGCATCGTCGGATCCTTATCATCCGGAAAGTCCGCTTTAGTCCACCGCTACTTGACCGGATCTTACATGCAGGAAGAGTCACCGGAAGGAGGACGATTCAAAAAGGAAATCCTCGTCGACAATCAAAGCTACCTTTTGTTGATACGAGACGAAGGTGGTCCCCCGGAATTGCAGGTATTTGAGACACTCTGTATACAGGGTGTCTCAGCGAGTTGAAAGAAGAAGTCTAGTAGTGACCTTTACAATTGTGAAATAAAAAATAAATTGTATAGGACTTTGATGGATACTAATCTCGTGCATCACCTAAAATTATTTTATCCATACAGCATGTCCCAAAAATAAGTTACCATACAAACTTGTGTTTTTTTAAATGAAACACCATCATATGTTTTTTTTGGATGTAGATTTAGGACAATGTTTTTAAGCTAAACTTTTATTGGTCGATTTTACTTAGTTTTAAAAATCGGACGGTTTTTGTAAAAGTCGACATTAATACTGAAATTTGAATTATTTTCTTGTAAAAATAAAGAATAATGGATTTACTTTAACACAAATGTGATTATTAAGTGATATTTCTTCTATCTCTTGTGCAACTGTGCACTTTTTGCCTACTGAAACAGTAGTAATTATTTTTTTTTATATTTAACGTTAAATATCTTTGTAGTTATTGATTATAAATACCTAAAAGTAAATAATTTTAGAAAGACAATTTAATAATCTTTTAAATGCAAAAACAATAAATAGGGTGTTTCATTTAATTTTTTTAAGTTATTGAACTTTTAACAAACGCATTCATTTTTTTATCTTTGCAAATGCAACACACTAAAAAAATGTTACAACTTTATAACTTATACCTTCTTCTTTGCGGTAGTAAAAAATATTTCTAGATGTCTTAGTTTTTGTGTAATAAATTTTTAAAAAGTGCATGTTTTCGTCAGAAAAACCGTCTTATTTCTAAAACTAAACAAAATCGACCAATAAAAGTTTAGCTTGTTATAAAAATTTACATCCAAAAACGCTAAGAAACATATGGTGTTTCATTTAAAAAAAAAATGTTTGTATTGTAACTTATTTTTGAGACACGCTGTATATAGTTGAAAATAATTTTAGGCGATGGACTAGATTAGTATCTATCAGGGTGCGCCAGAACTAGCGTCTCAGAGAAAAATGCCATATAAGGTGAAATATCAAGAACATGGAAAAAATGTTAAAAAAAAATTATCTATAAAAATTTCGAAGTTTAAATTTTGCACTTTGACTCTATTTATTTCTGTTGGATGAATAATTTTCCAAGTTTTTTTGCTACAGGCTATTAGAAGAAGAAACAAAGAAGCTGTATCCTAAATTGTGACTATGTTTAATGTTATTTGTGGTTTTTATTGGAAACATTTTTCTACCTTTACTAAATAATTGTAAAAAAACATATACAAAATCATCAGTATCATTAAATAGACAAAAAAAAGTCAAATGTCATACAATATATGTCAAAATTTTTTGCTAGATAGAATTTTTTAAACATTTTTTCCATGTTCCTGGTATCTTATCTTACATGAAATTTTTCTCTGGGGCGCGAGTTGTGGCGCACTCTGTATATATATATTTTTTAATTTTACCATTTAAAGGTCAGTAATGCACTTTTTCAACTCGCTGGGACACTCTGTATTACAGCTTCCCCCAGACTGAATTATTAATGGATTAAGTCGAACGACTCGGTCGTCCTCGTAATATTCTTGTATTTTATTAAGGAGTTTGCGTGATGTTGCGTGTTATTTAGGTAAAGAACGGCAGGTTTGTCGGCGACGAGTGAGGCGCCAGAGAGACTACTTGGAGTAATAATGATAATGTGAAATATTCATTGGGTTAGGGGGAAATGCACACAATGTGGCGATTTTTCCATTTTTCTTGGATTTGTGATAATATTTTGTCTGATGTTTCCAAAACTAAGAGTCGTGGAATAAAAATAAAGAGAGATTTGCAATCCCCACACAATTTTACGTAAAATTGACATAATTTCGGAATAAATTGTTGATTATTGTAATCTTGAGAATTTTTTTATTAGAGGATTGGGTGTTTGAAATTTGTATTTTTTTTCTCATAATTTGGCTAATTTTGTCGCGATTGCAACCAAGTTTTGGTCAGAAACAGATAATTAAGTAGTAACAAACGCTACGTGTCGTCTTTGATCAATTTCCATTTTGAACAGGTTGCTGTACAGGGTGTTCCGGCTAAATTCCACATTAGAAATAATGATAGTTCTAGTAATGATATTTATCTAAAATTTTGTATATACTCGTAGTCGTAATCTGTTAAGTCCTATTTAATGAAAATATTTCTAAAATGGTGGCGTTTCCGGTTATACCGGAAGTGGGTATCAACTTCGTTATTTTAAATAGAAATCTATATTTTTTATTGTGTTTTTGGATTATTCAAGTGATTTTGAGAAATATTTACACCTTTCTATTCAAAAATCGATAACTCCACCATTTTTAATTATTTTGAAATCGAGTTTGGGCTTATGAAAGAGAAAGGTTAGGACTTTTCTTTGGTGTATTTATAATGGCAAAAATAATTTACAAATCCTCAAAATTTAAGGTTGTGTTTGGGACTTCAAATACTCTTAAGTCAGTTTTTCTAAATAAAACGTCCTAAGTTTTTCTTCACCAAATGAAGGACTATTATGAATAGTAATAAATTTCTTCTATTGTAAAAAAAAGTCAATATAACTTGGAAATTATTAAACTTAGGTGTAGGGAATCTTGATACAAATCGATGCAGAATTAAATTTTTCTTTATTTAGGAAAAAAATTGAGGCCTTCCATTTGAAAAAATTGTGCTATGGATATTTAAAGTTTCCTAAACATAGCCTTAAATTTAGGCGGTTTATTAATTATTTTTTTAATTATGAATGCACTAAATGAAAGATCTAACCTTTCTGTTTTAAATGCGCAAATACGATTTTAAAATAATTAAAAATGGTAGAGTTATCGATTTTTAAAGGGGAAGCTGCAAATCTAAAATATTTCAAAAAAGTCTAAATATTTCGAAAACGGTTAAGCTTAGGTATAGAGAAGGCTAATAAAAACTCTCTCAAAATCACTTAAGTAATCCAAAAACGCAATAAAAAACATACCTTTCTATTTAAAATAACGAAGTTGAAATCCACTTCCGGTATAACCGGAAGTGTCGCCATCTTAAATATACATATTTTTATTGAGATCTGACCAATTATGCCTATATATAAATTTTTAGATAAATACCATTGTTAGAACTCCCAATACTTCCAATGTGGGGTTAAGTCGGAACACCCTGTATGAGATTTGTTAAATTCATAATTTTGTAATTAAACCGAAATTTGGTATTTTGACACGTGAGTTGAAACCAAACTAGTTACTTTTTTCTAAAAATTGTTTTTAAAGCCTAGTCTTCTATAAATTTTTTACTTGAATGAAATTATTTAGTATTTTTCTTCTTGTGAGAGTATTTGAATAGTGGTGCATAAGAGATGCACCAGGGACGATATATCGATTCTGAAACAGAGAATTTGTGACAAGGACGAGGCTAGAGAGAAAGAGGATGAGGCGTCGCGGCGCTTGCAACCCCTAGCGCTTGCCTCAGTTAGGGTTTAGACACCTGATGGACGGGTTGGTGTAGGTGGAAGAGGGTGAAGGGAGCGTGATTGAGGTATATTTCAATTGTTTTCGATTAAATTTCCAAAAAAAAAAAGTTTTGTAGTGCTTGATTATTTTTTGTTTGTTATTAATTTATTTTACTAGTCTCTCAACTAGCGACCGCAAATTCTCCAATTTCGAGGTAATTTGGGTCTAGTTACGGATTTTACGACCGCCACCGTTGCCCTAACGTAAACTTTGACCCTTTAACCCCCTCTTGCACTTTAGTTCTCTCTGCAATGTAATATATGTTCGAATGACAAAAGCAAAAAGATACAAAGTTCACTGATCTCTTTCTCCCTATCTCGTTTTCCGTAAATTTTCGCGTCTTTCAGGCGCCATTTGTTCCGGGTTTTACATTCTCCGGTCAGACGATGGTAAACAAACAATTCCGGGAGGTGGGGGAGCCGGAGGCGACCCATTTTCAAGTTAAATAATTCAAGATTTTTTTTGATTGATTAAAAATTTAATGTTATTGATTTATTTATTATTAAATGCTTTACTAGATAGAACTTTTATTAAAAATACTAGAAAAACATTTATAGTGGAAGAATAAAAAAATTTTTCGTTTTTGTTACAGTTTACCGCTTGGGTGGACGCTGTGATCTTCGTTTTTAGTCTAGAGAACGAATCTTCATTTAACGCTATCTACAATTACTATACGAAGATGTCTCATTATCGAAACTCTGCCGAGATACCACTCATCTTAGTGGGAACGCAAGGTAAATGCTAATTAACGTGGTCGTTATATCAAGGGTGACGTTAAGTGGAATTTTAATTTGGCAATTTGCGCCGGAGTTGAATTTTTCCGGTAACTCCAACCGGAAATTTATATTTCTAAAAACTAATTTAACGCAATTTTCTATTCTACAACAATTTTTGTGAAATACAGGGTGCGCCAGAACTCGCGCCCAGAGAAAATTTTCAAGTAACGTAAGATACCAGGGACATGTCAAAAATTTTAACATTTATTTTTGACATTTGACATTTTTTATATCTATTTAATGGTACTGATCTTGTATACAATGTTTTTTCATAATTATTCAGTAAAGGTACAAAAATTTGGCCAATAAAAGTCACAAATAACATTGAACATAGTTACAATTTAGGATACAGCTTCCTTGTTTTCGCTTTTAATAGCCTATAGCAAAAAAACTTGGAGAATTATTTTTCCAACAGAAATAAATGCAAACTTTAAACCCTCAACATCGAAATTTTTATAGATATTTTTTTTAACATTTTTTCCATGTTCCTGGTATCTTACCTTATATGGCATTTTTCTCTGGGGCCCGAGTTCTGGCGCACCCTGTATAGGAAACAGTCCGTAAAGTAGTACTTTGAAAGTGTAAAGTTGATAAAATAGTGAAGAATTACGATTTTAAATTTTTTTGTTTTGTTTGAAATTGCTCGTAGATTATACGAAATAGTTTGGAAAGTAGTACTTTTTCTGACTTATATGTCATTGAAGAAACCGTCTGTAAAGTTGATAAAATAGTGGAAAATTACAATTTTGTAATTTTTTATTTTGTGTGAAATTGAACAATTTCAATTTACAAAGGTAAATCATAGCCCGTAAAGTAGTACTTTTTCGAACCTAAATGTCATTGAAAGTGTAAAGTTGATAATATAGTGAAGAATTACGATTTTAGAATTTCTCATTTTGTATGAAATTGTTCGTAAATTATACGAAATAGTCTGTAAAGTAGTACTTTTTCTGACTTATATGTTATTGAAACCGTCTGTAAAGTTGATAAAATAGTGGAAAATTTCAATTTCATAATTTTTTATTTCCTGTGATATTAAACAATTTCAATTTACAAACGTAAATCATAGGGAATAGTCCGAAGTGTAGCATTTTTTCAGAGTTATATGCTATCGAAATTATCCGTAAAGTTGCCAAGATATTTCGTAAAGTATGTTGTGTAATATTAGCTGAAAAATTACGATTTCAGTATTTTTCATTTTGTGTGAAATCGTTCGTAAATTATACGAAATAGTCCGCAAACTAGTACTTTTTCAGACTTATATGTAATTGAAAATTGTCTAAATAGTCCATAAACTTGTAAAGTAAATTACGATTTCTGAATTGTTTATTTAGTCGATTGTCAAAAGCCTTTCACATTATTCTGATCACAATTTTAATTATCAACAATAATAATTAATTGTCTATCGCTTATAAACAGGCGAGCCAACTTTCCTAATACCTTATTCCATCTATTCACAAACAAATTTCCAATTAAAGAAAATCCTTTGGTTTTAATTAACTCTCGTCTCGAATCAAGACTCGAATTCGATTTCTTGACTCTCTTTATTCCAGATGCAATAAGCGAGAATAATCCGCGAGTAATCGACGATTCCCGGGCTAGAAAACTGGCTAATGACCTGAAGAGGTGTTCTTATTACGAGACGTGTGCCACCTACGGACTCAACGTTGAACGAGTCTTCCAAGACGGTAAGTAAAAAAGGAGGTTTTTTTTTACTCTAGAGCGATAAGAAATCACTAAATCAATAGCGAGCGAAATGTTGGGAAAAGTGGGAAAACGGTTGTTTCGCAGGAGATTTAAGCGGAAATTTTACAGTGAGTCCTTTTTTTTAATTACTATTGTAGCGATTTTTCTAAAAAAACGTATATCTACAGGGTGAACTATGAAAATTGCATGTTTAAGTTATTAAGTTTTATATATTTTTTTATTTATAATTTTAGTGGACTATAGTTACAGTGAGTTTTTTCTTTTGTAATTACCAGAATGAAGATTTTTTTTTGAACATTGCATCAATTTAAAAAAAAATATATCTACAGGATGAACTATGAAAATCGCACGTTTATGTTATTCAAACGTCAATTATTAAAACTTTAGTTACATTAATTATTATAAAAACAACGAAATTTTTATTTCTGTGTATACATCTATTCTAGAAAAATATATCTACATGGTGTCAAAAACATTTTATATATTTTTTATTTATAATTTGAGCGGACTATATTTACAGTGAGTTTTTTTTTATCAGAATGAAGAATTTTTTTAACAAGGTAGCAATTTTTATAAAAAAATATTTGTACAGGGTGAAGTATGAAAATTGCATGTTTAAGTATTCAAACGTCAATTATTAAAACTTTAGTTACATTAATTATAGAAACAACGAATTTTTTTATACATTTATTGTAGAAAAATATATCTACAGGAGGTCAGAAACACTTTGTAATTTTTTTTATTTATAATTTGAGCGGACTATATGTATTTAAAGTCATTTTTTTTGTAATCACCAGAATGTAGAAAACTTTTTTTGATCGTTTCGATTTTTCTAAAATTATGTCTACAAGGGGAACTATAAAAATTGCATGTTTATGTTATTCAAACGTCAAATTAATTATAAAAACAACGAAATTTTTATTTCTTTACATTTATTGCAGAAAATTATATCTACAGCGTATCAAAAAACGCGTTACACATTTAATTACAAGTTTTTTGTTTTTGATGTATTACCGGTTTTTCTATATCTACAGGGTGAGACATTAAAGTTGCTAGTTTGGTTGATTGACCTAAAACGCTTTATTTATTTATTTTTGTTGTACAAAAAATATCTACAGGGTGGGTCTTTTTTTTGCAGCGTGTCAAAAAATCGTTCAACAGCGTCTCTCCGTGTCAACGACATGTCTCACGCCTACTAATTCCCGCCCCTCTACCCCCAACAACCATTTTCATCCGCCTCAACGCCACCTCCCACCCACTCAACCAAACAATGGTTTTTCACAAATGTCACCTAGTCATACAATCTCCTCCCACAAGGATTTGCATTCGTTGGGTTCACGTCAAGTCCACACCCTCTCCTCCTCTACACATTACCTCCACCGTGACAAATCCTCGGACGAGAAATGGAACTCCTCCTCCTCCACGCTTAGTCATGGCTCCTCCCAAGCGCTCGTAGTACAAACCGAAAATAACAATGTGACGAAATTCGCCACGCCCCATCCTATCGATAACATCCAATCGAAAGACTCGAAGGATTTACCCACGCCTAGTTCGACCCCCACCACTGCTCGGAAGAGTCGAAGGAGGTCGAATTTGTTCACGCCGTCGAAAAAAGGGGATGATAAGTTGAAAAATGTGGGGGATTTTGGGAGTGGGAGAGCGATTCCCCTTAAACAAGGGTATCTTTATAAACGTAGTAGTAAACCATTGAATAAGGAATGGAAGAAAAAATATGTGACTTTATGTGATGATGGACGTTTGACATACCATCCCAGTCTACATGATTACATGGATGATGTTCATGGTAAAGAAATTTCTCTTCAGTATGTTACTGTTAAAGTACCAGGACAGAAACCAAGAGGATCAAAATCCATCATCACCGTTGCGGGAACCAATGGCTCGAGCAGTATTAATGAGGGGTTGGGGGGGTTGTCGTTGGGTGGGAAGGATAAAAGAACGACGGAGAAAGTACTGATGAGTGCGTTCGAAACGGTGAAAGATCCAAGTTCGAAGTACTCACAAGTGAGTGGGGATGAAGGGATGGTGTTGTCCAATAGTAGTTCATTTGTGAATGGGGATGGGATTAAGACGGAAACGCCCAATGTAAAGAAGAGGCACAGGAGGATGAAGAGTAGTGGAGTGAAGAATTCGGAGTACGATGGTGAGTGACGTTTTTTTTTGATTAGACAATTTTTTTGTACATTTTATGATAAAAAAATAACAAAATACAATCCATAACAGTTTTGTGATTTTTTGAGCCATTTCTTAATTTAGTTTTCAGGAATTGTCTTTATTATTTACAAAACACAAAAAAAAATAGCAAAATTATAACATATTTTTCACACTTCATGCGACTGAAAGAAACTAAAATACACACTAATAAGGGTCTCATTTTTGGGTACTTTTCAATTTTTTTTGTTTTTTTTTGTTCGTTTTTACTTCGATATTGTTGAATTTTTCTAATTTAACAATTTTACATGAAAATTGTTGAGGTAAAGGCAATTTTTTTACTACTTTTTGGTACTTTTTTGGCTTAATTTCTTTAATTTTAGCTTGTTTTTCACATCGGAACTTAATTTTTTAACAATGAAAAAGATTTTTGTTGTTTTTTTGTGCTACTCTGTTATTTTTGGCCATTTTTTGACCTTATTTAAATAATCTTTTTTTTTTCTTTTTTTTTACTTTTTCGTTTTTTTTTCTCACAAGAGACCAATTATTGTTGCATGGTGCTTTCTTTATTGTTGTGTCTTACATTTGTGGGGACAGTGTTTTTTTCAAATTTTATACTAGTTCGAAAATGTCACATATGTCAAAAAACATATTTTTAATAAAACGTGAATTTTTAAGTACTTTTGAACACAAGCAACGAAATTAAAATTTTTACATTGAAAATGTTGGAAACACAATCTTTGGCAATTCATGCGACTGAAAAAAGCTGAAATACACACTTATGGTACCACTTTTGGCTAGTTTTTAAACTTAAAATGTAAGAGAAGTGGTAAAACCTTGAGTTTATTTTATGTTTAATTTTTTTTTTTTGTTAATTTAGAAGCTTCTTTCAGCGACATTGTTGAATTTTTGACTCTTTTGGGGGTTAAGGTGCCGTTTATGTTAATATAACTCCAAAATTGAATAGATATGTGGCTTTGCGTGAAAACTGTTGAGAAAAACGCAGTTTTTCACTACTTTTGGCCACTTTTTATGCCAAATTCTTGTTTTTTATATTGGATTTTGTTATTTTTACCAATTAAAGCTTTTGTACTTTTTTATTTATTGTTTTATCTTACGTTTGTGTTGACAGTGTTTTTTACTTTTCTTTTAAGTTTTATACTCGTTCACCTTGAAAATGTCACAAGGGTTAAACTCACTTTGAAAAAATGCAACTTTTTTAGATTCTTTTAAACGTGCATAAAAAACATAACTTTTTTCCGTTGAATATCGTCGAAAAGCAAATCTTTTGCACTTTCATGAGACTGAAAGAAACTGAAATTCACATTAAAGGTACTATTTTTGGGTACTTTATGAACTTAAAATATAAGAGAAGAGGTGGAAAAATTCGAGTTTATTTTGCGGCTTACATATTTTTGTTAATTTTGAAGCTTTTTGCGTCGATATTCTCGACTTTTTGACTTTTTTGGATTTAAGGTGTCTTTTGTGGGTACTTTTATCGTATTAAGCCCAAAATTGAATAGAAATGTAGAAAAACATGTTTATTTTTAATTTTACCTGGTTTTGCTAATTTTGCGTGAAAATTGCTTTAAAAAAAAGCATTTTTAACTATTTTTTGTCACTTTTTAGCCCAAATTTATCTAATTTTCGCTTGTTTTTTATTTTGACTTTTATTTTTTTCTTGTTTTGTTTTACAAAACACCATACCGGAACTTAATTTGATATACAATAAAGAAGATGAAGATTTTTGCTGTTTTTGATCATTTTTGGACCTTATTATACAGTCTTCTTTTTTCTTATTTTTTCTTTTTGTTTTTTATATGAGACCAATTTTGACGCCTTTTGTTTTAATATTATATGTTACGTTTTTGTTGTCAGTGTAGTTTTATACATTTCTTACAAATTATATACTCGTTCACCTTGAAAATATCACAAGAGGTCAAACTCACTTTGAAAAAATGCATTTTTTTCGTTTTTTTTATTTCAGATCCGGACGGTTATGAATTTTTTATCGTGTCATTGGATAACAAACAATGGCATTTCGAAGCGTCAAGTTCGGAAGAACGCGACGATTGGGTAGCTGCAATAGAACAACAGATTTTAAATTCGCTGCAACTGAACGAATCCTCCAAAGGTAAAAAACAAAACAATCCAATGGAAGCTGCAACAATACAATCAATACGTAGTCGTGTACCTGGAAACGGTTTCTGTGTCGACTGTGATGCTACTAGTAAGTCATTTTCTACCTCTCTCTGTATACAAGGTGGAAAATAACATTAATAAAAAAAGTGGCTCACAAAGCCACTAAAATTTTATGGAAATAATTCAAATACTTTCGGAGAAACTAATGGATTTTAATTTTTATCATATAAAGTTATCACTCTGTATATCCAAAACGAAGCTTTATAGGAATATAGTTTATTAGACAAATTAGTGTTATTTTTCGATGTAGAGTATGTGGTTGCAATTTTTTGCATTATTGAGAAAACACCCTATATATTAAAAAAATCCAGATCCGGATTGGGCCAGTCTGAACCTCGGCGTGCTCATGTGCATCGAATGTTCGGGGATTCACCGCAACCTCGGATCTCATATTTCCCGCGTTAGGTCACTTGATTTAGACGAATGGCCGTAAGTTTTTTAAATTTGTGCAATTTCATAAATGTTGAAAATGTATGTTTTTCAGGGCCGGTCATTTGAGCGTAATGTTGGCAATCGGTAATACATTGGCAAATTCGGTCTGGGAATGTCGGACACAGAGCCGTACTAAGCCAACGCCGATTTCGAGTCGGGAAGAGAAAGAAAGGTGGATAAGAACGAAATATGAGAGTAAGGAGTTTCTTCCGCCGTCTAATACCACAATGCCTTTGGGGCAACAATTGGTCGATGCTGTGTGTAGTTCTAATATGAAGGCAATTATTCATGTTTTGGCATTGGCCAATACGGAACAAGTCAATAGTACGGTGGCCCCGAGGGACCTAAGGACGCCCCTGCATCTGGCCTGCGCAATGGGTAATCTAGCCGTTGCGCAGTTGCTGATTTGGGTAAGTGACATTTCTATCGGCAATGAGTATATCATAACTTTTTTGTATACGCTCTCAAAAATAGCTACTTTACGCATTTTTGGTATTATTTTTTATTTTTGATCACAACTTTTGAAAAAATTGATAATTATACAGGGTGACAGGGCGGCAGGCGCTGTAGAATTTTTATTTATGTCTTGATTTCAAAAATTAAAAAACTGAATTAAATGGCTTTTGATATAGTATAAGATGACAATTTTAGAATTTTCCTAAATGTCTTAGCATATTTTGGGCTATATTCAACTTCCGAATTTTAAATTATTTAATTAAATATATTTTTTTTCATAATTTGGAAGGTATTATTTTTCTGGATACAGACATGTGCAATAGGTTTCACTTTTACTAGAAATTTTGCATAAGAAAATTATCAAAATTAGGGAATGAAATCTAGTTGCTTGGTGTCAAATAAGACAATACCATTATTGTAATGTAAAAAAATCAGCAAATGAAAGAAAATATTGCTAATACGAAATAACAATAATAATTATTAAATAATTTTTAGTTAAATAATTTATGTGGCTGTACCACATCGATAAATATTTAGATTCGGACAGGACCACACTTACTGAGGCGCCACTTTTAAATTTTTATCAAATTTGACATTTTTTTACCATTTTTACATCGCTTGACTTATGTGGTCCAAAAATATCAAACTAATTTTGTTTTTAAATGAATAGAAGAGGGACATGAGAGGGACGCCGAATAATTCCGTGAAAATTAATGTTTTTTTGGCATTTTTGTAATGATGAAAAGTAATAAAAATAAATAAAAAAATGATTGAAGGAATTCCATGTCGATAAAAATTAAAATAATTTTTTTAATCGTTCCGCTGTTATAAAAAATGAAAAAATAAGTTTTTAGCGTCAATTTGAAAATACAATTTGTAAGTATTTTTATTTTTTTTAATATTTTTTCAATTTGTCAATAAGGTGACAGTTTCGTCTGTTTTTGATTAAAATTACAGTGACAAACCTAACGACTTCATCGACATGGGCGTTCTATAATTTGCAACTTATTTTAAATACTTTTAAATTTAATTAAATTTTGTTATTGTAGAAATTTAAGAATTAAAACCAGAGACAAAAACTTTATCGACATGTTTTTTTTTTATTTAATTGATTTTAAAAGAGTTAATCAGCTGTAGTCTTACCGCATCAATAAATAAATACATTTTCTGTTTTTTTTTTTAAGTTGGCAATTAGTGAACAAATAGTATTTTTATTTTTCTAATAAATAAAATAAGTATACATAGTTTTGTTAAGAGTGGTTTTAATTTATTTTTATTTTTTTTGTGTAGTGATTCAATCTTGATAAAGCCGTTCGATTAAACATATATTAATACTTTAATAAAACTTATTCAGTAAATTCATTACCTACAATGAATCTGTATAGCAAAAAACTGTTGTGGATTTCGACACTAACGGATAACAAATATAAGTTGTTTATTCTTATTATCGACGTTTTTTTGTTTTTTACTTTTTATTTAACTTTAATTGTTTTTTGGAAAAAAGTGAACTAAAATTTCACTGCATCGATGAATAGATGAATATTAAGAATAGACAAAATATTAAGAAATAAGCTCCAATATATGCCAAATATGCATCGATATGCAAAATTTTGAACAATAAAAAGTCGAACGTATTTATTTTTTTTAAAAACTAATTGATGAATTATAAAGTTCTATAAACATGTGATGTTTTATCAAAAATAAAATTTTTCGAAATTTTTGTTATTTTGTTTTTGAGTTTTACAAAAATATTATTTTTTTTAAATGGGAACCCACTAAAAAA